TCTTTCCCTCCTTCCCCCCTCCCCCTTAGTGCTCCTGCTCCAGTGTCACCTAATGGGTCTTCATCCTCAGAGCACCCTCTTCCTCCCTCCTTTTTTGGTGGGTCTCTCTTATTCCTCCTTGCCAGCATCCCTGTACTGGCAGCCACAGCCAGCATGATTAATTTTGTTTCTCCCTTTTAGAAAGCAAGCTTCAGGTATCTACAAAACACAGCTCTACGGAGATTGCCGGCGGTGCTGACACAGCCATTGAGTGCAGGATCATGACTGCCCAGAATAATTCTCAGTTTGCTGTTACCTGGTACCTCCTACCTACTTCTGCAGCAGATGCAACCCCCGTGAAAATCGTAAGGGCCGACTATAGCAGCACACTGGAATACGGGACTGAGTTCAGCTCTCATGCACAAAGGTCCCGGTTCCTGAGCCAGAGGGTGTCCAGCAATGTTTTCTGGCTGCGGATACTCTCTGCGGACCCCAGGGACCAGGGCAGGTACTACTGTGTGGTAGAGGAGTGGCTCTGGCTGGTGGACAGCTGGTACAAACTCGGAGAGGGAGCATCAGGAAGGACCATGCTGGAGTTCAAGCTCCCAGGTAAGCAGAGGTTCTCTCTCACCCTGTTTATGATGGGGCACCTGCCAGGCCTCTCCTAAGCTGGCAGGGCTTAGGAGAACCAGAGGCTCTGGTGTTGGATCTCTGAGACTTAGGGAGGCAGGAGGTGTCAGTGCCTCTCAAAGGGAAATAGGGAATTAGGAGGATTTGCCACATTCTCCCAAACCAAGCAAGCTGGTATTTTTGCCACCAGCAGATGACGTCTAGTGCTTCGTAACTAAGTGAATCATGGCATTTTGTTTTTCTTCCAACACATGATGCTCTTGGTCAGTTGTACAGTGCTGTGAATAGAGAAGTAGTCCTTTCCTGGTACTCCCGAGCATCCTGAAGCAAGAGACAAAATTTTCCCTACCCTGCACACAGCCACAGAGAACAAGGCTGAATGTTCAGCTGCTCCCACCTTGGGCACTGCACGGCTGGGGGGTACATGGTGGGTCTCCCTGTCTCAGTTCTTCCCTCTCTCTCAGCGTGACCTGGCTTATGGTTGCAGCCCTAAATAAAGTGGATCAGAGAATTCCAGCTTCCTAAATAGCTTTTGGCCCAAAGGATGCCTCATCACTTATTTGGAGAGGGTGGGAAGTATTACAGCAGAGGGTTGTGAACAACGGGCAGAGATGATGAGGGGCGGAGGGGGAAACACCCCAGGGAGAATGTGTCACAAGAGCAAGGGGGAGCCATGGGTGTCCTGCCAGAGGCTCTTCCAAGAGATGATCCCAATCCCGCATGGTTCGCTCTGGAAGATTTCCAGCAGCCTGCGGGTGCAGACGAGGAGCATTTCTGTGGTGGCGCAACATGGCAGCCTCTCTCTCTGCTTGCCTCCCGCCCCAGAGCACGATCTGCCCCTGGAGAAAACCAACCGCAACATCTCGGTGAGGGAGGGCGAGGAGGTGACACTGCCCTGCCTGCTGCGGGGCACCCTCTCTCCTGGCACCCACCTCTCGGCCACCTGGTTTCGGGGGACGGAGAGCAGCCGCGCCATGCCCCTGCTCACCCTCCACCGTGACGGGGCCATTGAGTACCCCCAGGAGAGCCTGGCGGGGAGGCTGCAGCTCCGCCGCCCTACCACCGGTGACCTCAGCCTGACGCTGCGCAGCACGGAGAAGGGCGACGCCGGGGAGTATCACTGCCAGGTGCAGGAGTGGCCGCAGCAGAGCAAGGGGAAGGACTCGACTGTGCAAGCTTTGGCGCGCTCGGGGTACACTCGGCTCACCACCATCCCGACAGGTAACGCTGCTGGGTATGAGGGGCTGCTCACCCCACACCCGTTCCCCCTTGGCTGTGCTGGGGTGCCTGGGGGGGGGATAATGGCAGCTCTCCGCTGGTGATGCTGGCTGCAATAGCAAAGATGCAGCAGGAACAGGAGGACTTGCTAAGGGATTGCAGCGGGGCTTGGTGCTGGGGAGATGGCTAGAGTTGTTCTGGGAGCCAGGGGAGAGAAGGAAGCCCTTTGAGGGACCTGTGCTGTCAGACTGGCAGGGGGAGGTAATGAGATCCTGTTCCCAGTCCTGTTGATCTGCCAGGGCTGAAACCCAGGTACTTGGCATTGTAAACGCTGGAGGTGGTGGTCAGATGAGACACCAAGCACTCTGACTGTAAGGCACGTGGTCCGGAGGGTATCACTGAGTGCACTTCTGTCTGCAGTGCTTTGCTGGCTTGTGGGCTCTCTGCAGGACTGTGAGCAAAACCCCCCGCTCTCAGTTGTGCCATTGGGGCCAGAACTGTTTGGGGGAATAATTTCTTGGTGTGATTTTTCTGGCAAGTCCATCTCCAGTGAGGTCTCTTAAAAACAGCCTCTGTCCCGTTGGGGTGAGTTGGGGTGCATGCCGGGTGCAAAAATAGGGCTGGATTCTGCATACAGAATTTAAAATAAATAAAAGCAAAGGTTTCAGTCAGGCACACACAGTATTTTTAGGGAGGTAACAGACAGGAAAAAAAGTACTCTCTTGTTGCCTCTTTGAGGAAATAGGAGGCTTGGGCAGCCCATGTGGATGAAAAAATACGAACTGTGAAATCAGTCACGTTGCACCCAGCCGAGAGGATCCTGCAGTTCTTCTTGTGCCTTCAGCCCTGGAGTTGCCATGCCTGAAGCCAGCCTGGGTGCCCACACGTGTTTATAGCTTCTGCAGCAACTGCCCATGCTGACTGACATGGAAGAACTCGGGGGAACCCTACAGAGCCCTCCCTTGCGCCTGTTACTGGCATGCACAGAGCCTACTCACATGGCTCTGCACCTACAGCAGAGCTAATCTGGATTTAATTGCCCAGGGAAGGACTGACAGCACTTCGTCCCCCTGCTGTTATGTTCCCGCTGTCGTCCATCACCATTCCCTCTAGCTCTCAGATTTCTCCTTCATCAGCTCCCTCTGTCTCTTGTTACCCGGTACTGGTGGAGTTCCCATTGCTAAAATTGCTCAGTAACTGCTGCAAAATTCTCTTGCAATTTTTCTATAAGTGTTTTGGCCAAGTAGTTTTCATGATTTTCACAAAATCCAAGAGATTAGTTAGGTCTTTATATTTTTACTCTGCGTGTGTGTGTGTTTCTGCAGTGATGCGGCTATCTCAAAATGCCCCTCTGGCTCACAGATTTCAATGCTTGAGTTTTCTGAGGGGTAAGAACACAGCCATGTGCAAGTGTGCCCGTAATCAGGAGGAACTTCATCTCTGATCCCTGATGCTGCCCTTTAGGATACCTCCCTAGTACTACAGAGGCATTCATGTAGCGGAGACTTCCCCCTGTTTTTCTACAGGAAAGTAAATGCTGCTTCCCGCTATATGGATGGGGTGCAGAGCTTCAGCAGTAGAGAGGTAGAAGCCAGCTTCAGAGCCAGGTTGGTTCATTCCTAGGGTCACACCTAGCCCGCGCGGGTCCCCCATGGACGGTTTCAAAGCAGCAGACCCGCGCACTCAGTGTGGTTTTGCAGAGCAAGCCTAAAGCATCTGAGCATGGGTGTTGGGTAAGGAGGAGAACTGAGGAACAGCACTTTGAGATGGATAAAACAGACCTAAAAGGAACTGGCACGACCCTTCATGGGAGGCCAGGTGCATCCGAGGTCAGTCTGTGGTGCTGAAGCTGTGTGCCGAGCGAGGAGACTTTGATGGCCAGGATTAGCCGGTGGCTGTAAGGAGCCTGGGACAAAAGTGGAGAGAGGCTGCAAACCAGAGCTTTTCAGCTGGCATGGGGCTGACCAAACCCAGTCTTTCGCAGTACTGGGAGGGTCCACCAGCACTACAGGCGACCTCTGCCTCAACAGGGGAGCTGTTCTGCAGGAGCTGCCAGGAACGGGGCTCTCGGAGTAGCAGAAGCAAGGAGAGGCAGGTGCCTGGGAGAGATGGGGACCTCCTTGATCTGGTGTCTTTTCTTTCCTCTTGTCCCTCCTTGTTCTGTGGTGCAGCCTCTGGCAGACCTCTGCCTCACCCTGCTGTCACCCGTGTCAGGCAGGGACCCAGGGGGTGGAGAGTACGTGGCTTCTCCTTACTGAGCCCAGCCTGGAAGGGGTTAGCTGAAGAGCTGTGCTGTTTATGTCAGGATGCTTCAGCTGAATGAGGCAGGGCCCTATCTGACCTCCCAGAATAAGAAATTGAGGCAAATTACCTGGTTTCTTCTCCCCCTTCTCCTCAGGTAGCCAGTATGAATTCTCAAAAATTAGTAGGTGTTGAAGATTGAGGGAAAACTGATAAAAAGATAACCTACAGAAACAGTAGGAGAGAGAAACTCAAACTAGCTGAGGGCCTCACTTTCCACCCCCCCCCCTTTCTTTTTCCCTCCAGAGTCAACTGTTTTTTCTAGGATCTGCTCATCCCCACCACTGCTGAACTTCATCCTATACTTACCGCTGGTTCTGATCCTTCTCCTGGCCCTTGCTGGCTTCTGCTGGTACTTCAAATCTGGAAAAAGCAAAAAGGGCAACATTACAGGAGACCAGATGATGGAACTGCGAACGGCTGAAGAGGTCAAGAAAACCTAGCTGGTCTGTAATGGCAGATGTGACTTGAAGGAGCGGAGCTGGACAGCTGAGGAGGACTGAGTACTTGCAGAGGGGCTTTTTATTGTTTTGCAGTAGCTCTTGCAATGAATCCTTGAAATCGTGTGTTTACTCTCAATGGAATGAAGCAACTTTGAATTACTAAGCAAATAGGGTTTTCATAATGGGTGTTCCTGTCTCTTAGGTTAGGTACCCACCCGTTTCACACTGTTCATTGCGGTGTATTTGAGGTGCTTGCAGTACGCGTCTCCCAGTGTGGCTGGAAGTGGTGTTATTCCCCTACAGCTGTAAGGGAAAAAAACCAGGTCTTTTTGCAGTGAGACCAAAAGTATCAAATTGCTGCTTATTTTAGGTGACTTGACAAAATATACATGGCATGGGGGTTAAAAAACCAGTGGCAGAGCCTGAAATGGAGTGTTCGTGTCCCTTTTAAGGCATTGCATTTGCCTTTGCCCATGCCTTGCTGGGGAAGCTCTCAGCTCTCCTCGTTCTGCAAGTGCCTGTGCCCAAAGAGCATCCTCTCCAAAAGGAAGTGGATCTTCATCACAAAACCTGTCACGGGAAGATGAGGACTGAGCAAGGCTGGCTGGGGCTGAAGAAAGTCAGGTGCAGGAGCACCACAGCCATCCACAAAAAAAGGAATCCTGTTGACCCAACAGGGGACTTGCATAGAGTCATAGATCCCAGAAGGAAGCAGTGGACACCAAGCCATCTTGGAGATGACTGTACAAAGGCTTGCCCATTCCTTCCTTTGCTGGGACTGCTGTTGGAGCAGACAGCATCCAGCCCCATGTGCCTGGGCTGCCTGTGGGTCAGGAAGCTGCACAACTGGGAGCTGGTATTAGACTCCTCCAGGTTGTACCATATAATACATTGGGATGCAAGAGGGATCAGCCACCAGCAGCTTAGAGCACAGGAGCAGCCCATACCTCTAAGGGATTACGTGTGTAATGTAGTAGTAAACTGGGGGTATTTCTTGAGCTGAGCTGCTGCAGAGCTGGAACCAAGCTCCTCGTTGCCTGGAGAGACATCCTGGCAGACCCCCAACTGTGCCTTAGGGCAGTATGGGGAGAATATTTAAATTCCCAGGGCTCTCACCTGCTCATAGAGGAGGTCTTACTGGTCTGTGTGCTGGATGGACAATGAACCGCTGCACCTTCCCCCTTGGAGGGGGGCCTCCCTGAGGAAGTGCCCCTTATGCTCACTGCAAAACCACCTGAGTCCCTCTCCTAGCTGCCACGGAGTCGTACGCAGGCTGTGGCCCAGAAATTTGGCATGAGAAGCCAGTGAGACACTGTCTAAGGGGTCTGTTCCTCCTGGCAAAGCCATGCGTATCCTTGTGGGGCAGCTGCTCTATGCCTTGGGATCCAGTTCAGACTCACCTTTTCAAGGCCGAAGAGCTGTGCTACCTGAAGGCTGGCTGGCTGATCCATTAGAGGAAAGGTGCTCAACCCCTAATTGTGCCATGGTCCCAGAAAGTTGTAAGGTCAGATGCTGGGGCGACACTCAAAGCACCATCCTCAGACAAAAGCAGCCGTATGGACATCATGGCAGATCCTTACGGACCTGCTTACTTTGACCAGAGCGAGGGTTTGGAGACACCACAGCCCCTCTAGATGATCTGTTCCTTCACTTTCCTTACAGCCAGAAAAAGCTGTCTGCCCTGTAGCCCAAGGAACTGGGAGGTGCTTCAGTCCCTTTCTCCTTGAACAAGCACTTTTTGTGTAAGTTGGAAGACTTACTGCTTCCGTTTCTCCGTTCAGCCACCTCCTCTGTCTCTACTGATTGGCTCCAGCTTGCTCAACCTTTCCCTGCGGGTTATGTTTTCTGGACCTCGTTGCAGCTTTTCCCTTTGCTGCCCTGACCCCAGCTGTCTCTCCCGCAGGGTGAGTGGTCAGAGCGGCGCGTGGGGTGCTCTGCAGGGGTTCCCCCCTGCCTTGTGGCTGATGTCCCGGTTACGCATCCCAGTAAGGACGTTTGATTTTCTGCGTGCCTTGTGACAGCGCGGCACTGCTTGCGCTTGGCTCGCAATCGGCAGGCTCCTCTCCTGCAGATTTGCTGTCTAGCAAGTTGTTTCTCCGCTGTGTGTTCAGGCTGTTGACTTTTCCTATCTAATCGAAGCACTGTTTGCATGGGGCTGTTGAACAGCTTTCTGCACCAGTTTGCGAAGCATCCTGCTGCCTGTTTGTCTTAGTCCTGTCTCGATAATGCTTTAACTCATGGACCGCTTTCAGTCTGTTTTGACAGGGAAGCAGATGCTCCCAGGACATTAAGCTCCTACAAGTTTCATGAAAAGCGCTAGCTGGATGAGGGAGAGGAGGTAGGCGAGTTGTCCTGCCAAGGGAAAGCTGCGGTGTGAGTTGCCCGACAGCCGGCCCCGGGCCAGCCGTGCGCTGCCTGCCTGGCACCCAGCTCATAATTAGGGGATACAGAAAGGAGGTGTAGGCGTGTTAGGGCATGGGAAAGAAGAAAACATTTTTAACCATAAACTATTAGCAATTAATCTGTGCACATGGTTTATCTACCAATTTTGTGCTGTCCCTCTGTGTTTTCGTTTGTATTGTTTCCTTAGCTTGCCCGTAGGAGTACCTTGGGAACATATTTCACAAGCCTTGGTAAAGTCAAGAATATGTGATGCCTACTGCTTATCCCTTCCCACAAGGCTTGCAGCCCTCTTGCAGGGGAGATTAGACAGGTCTGACGTGCTCTGTTCTTCTCTAAAACAAACCAAAAAAAGTTTCTTTTCTTCTTGCATTCTTCTAGGTGCATGTAAGTACTTTGTCCCTCTATTTCCCCGAGGATTGCAGTTAAGAAGATGCAGGTGTTAAAAGGAAGTTTCCCCTTCCTTTTAAAAATAACTTTGCCCTTTTCTTGTCACTTGGTACCTCACACCTCCTTAGGTGTTACTGCAGCAAACAGACGGCTTGACAGCCCATTCTTGGCGTGTCTTGGGATGAACCTCACCAAGACCAGCCTTCTGTTCAAAAATCTAACTTATTTAGGTTGCTACTCATTACCAGAGTGCTGGGGTGGTGGCGTGGGACAGCCCCTACCCTGCCGCAGTGGTCGCCTGTGTGGGTCAGGCTCCATGCGAGCCCTGTGAGTAACCTTGTCTAGGTTTGGTGTGTCCCCCAAGCCCGCCCTGGCCCCTTGCTCGCCTGCCTCAGCACTCCACCACAGGTCTTTGCTGCCACCTGATCTTAACGTAAAAAGCTGTAGACTCTACTGCAACATGAGATTTTTTTGTGTCTGGCAGGCTGGGGGAAGAAGGTGGCCAGAGAGGGAGGTTCCTCCATCAACGGGGCACCTTCTTCTGCTCTGTTGTTGCTCCGTTAACCAGAGGCCTATGCAAGTAGCAGCTTTCCATTCATGCAGGTTTAGAGGTTTTAATTTAGGTTTGTAAAGTGTGCCTAGGGCCTCGACGAAATGGTCTGCAAGAAGAATGTGTGGTTTTGCAGTGGCGGGGTTTTTTCCTCTTTATTTTTTTTTCTGGCTTTGCTGGATCACTGCCAAACCTTCCAGCTATATTTTTTTAAGCTGTATTTTTTTCCACGAGTGAACTTAGAAAGACTTGTAACTTATCACAGCAAAAGCTCCAAACCAGTCCTATTTTTAAAGAGAACATTTCACTCAGCTGAGGTGAATGTACGAGGGAGAGAGACATGTGTGTGGTAGGACAGGGGGTAGCACTGGTTTTGCTGCCGGGGCTCTTGGCCGCCTTCACTCATCCCCATCACCACCTTTTTTCCAAGTCCAGCCTCTGATGTAAACTGGAACAGCTGATGAAATATATATTTAGCCGTAACAGCTAAATATATATTTAATAATAGTGGGGGAATACAGTGCAGCAGGGCAGACCCTGCAGAACAGGAGTGCCCCTGTTGCACCCCGTCCCCCGGGGTCCTTTCAGAGGCTTTAAAGCAGCTTGAAGGGGCTACAGGGCAATGCAGAGTGGGGTCTGAGAGGAATTAATCCGCTGGGAAGTGGTTGCAGGGGAAACACAAGAGCTGCCTTGTGCTCTTGTATGTTTCTATAGGAAGGTATGGAAACTGCTAAGGCACGTGGAGAGCAGCGCTGCCTCCCGGGCAAGCGAGCCCAGTGAGCTCGGCAGAGCCTGGCTCTTCAGAAGATGGATGGCGTGAGGGCGGGCCGGGCAGGAAGGTGACCCCCGCGTTGTGTTGCCTGCCTGGAACGCTTTCGTGGCATCTGTGAGGAGGGAGGGAGGGTGCTGTGCCGGAGCGGTGGGAAGTGCCTTGCAAGCAAGGAGCTGCTTTGCAGCCTCTGGCAGCTGCTGGCTGGGGGTTCCCTGGCCTGCCCGGCTCCCTGGAGCAGAGGGCACAGCAGCAGCGTGTGGCCCTGTTCTGCCAGGGCAAGGCTCTTAAGGGAGGTTGCCAAAATTCCAAGAAATGCTTCCAGACGAGTGACTTGGAGTTCTCCTGAGATGGCCCCTCTCAAGCAGCATCTCTTCATTCCTTCCTATTAACTCTGAGTTGGTTGTGAAACTTGACATTCAGTTTTCTTCCTGTGATAAAATATTTAAAAACTGGAATAAAAGATGCAGTTTTGATACGTGCTTTGGTCTCACTTGATGCCAGCTTGCATTCTAGCTGGTTCCTGCAGCCCCTGTTTGTTTCCCATCTCCTTCGGCCTCAGTCTTCAGCACCTCAGATGAAGCAGACCCGCTCCTAGGTCTCTAAAGCTTCCTTAACCACTAAGAAACTCCTGCATCGTATCTGCCTGCTGCTGGTTTTTTGATCCTTCTCCTCCAATCCTCCGCCTCCTCCCTCTTTTTCTTCTAGCAGATAATATGGGATTACAGCCCTGTTCCACAGGGCAGGAAAAGGCAGCCCTTGCCCTGGAGTGATGTTTTCCAAGGCAGAAGTGGTATAAACCAGGGGGCTCCTCCGGGTGGGAAGGGTGTGCGGGAGCTAACGCAGTATCTGACTCCCTTTGCTATGGCAGCAAGCAGGAGGGAGCAGCTCAGCGTCCTTTCAGCCAGCTGCACTCACCGGCAGAGGGGCTGGCTGTGCTGGGGAGGGGCTGACAGGATTCATGGCCCAATACCTGCCTGGGCATTTAAAAAGAAGAAAAAAATATTCAACGAACTATAAGTGTGTTTCTCTAGCAGCTTCTATTTAGAAATGCAAACAGGAAAGCAAAGCCCGGACACTACTCGCTTCTGCACGCTGGACAGGAAACAGAATACCACAGGAAACACATTTGAGCATGTGCTCATCTGGGCTTTCTTGCTTTCCTTACACCTTTTTTTTCCCCCTGTGTTTCTAAGGAGAGTTACACGACTCTGACGGGGAGCTGAGCCCCCTCTACAGCCAGTGCCAGCAAGCTCTCCAGGGACATGTGGGTGCAAGCTCACTACTGCCCTTGCAAACCACTTGCCTCCATCAGCAGCTTTATTTAAAAAGAGTGATGGGAGCAGGGGCTATTTTGTCTTTTAATTGACACTCTGCTCATTCCCCCTGCAGGCACTGGGAGCAGGTCCTGTGCTGGGCAAAGTAACAGGAGAGGGAGGGAGCTGCTCCTCTGGCATCCTCGGAGCCTGCCCTCACCATGGGTGCCATCCTTGGACCCCTCCTTGGGGACCATCATGAAAGCAGAGCACGGTGGGGGTGGCTGCGAAGCAGGGGGTGACATGGTCTCTGGCCTTGTGCGTGCTGTACCTGCTCCTTGTAGGGACGGGGGGGACGCCATTTGATTCTGGGAATGTCGACTAAGTGTGAAAATTCACTGGTGGAAGGGGTGCGTGTGGAAATACTGGTTTTATCATTATTTTAAGCGTGAGGGAACGAACGGGTGAATGCCAGGAGCAGCGTGGCAAACGATGAGGGGCTGTGACTCCTCGCAGCCCCCTCATGGGATGCTAATCGGAAGGAGAGGCCCGCCACCCCGTTTGAAAGAGAAGGGCTGTGACCGATCGCTCTTAAAGGTGGCAGCAATGCCTCACGCGGTGGCCGCGGGATAAAAGGCAGAGGCAGCCCGAGCTGTAAAGACGTTTCATTTCCCTGGTAATGAGGGAGACACACTGTGGCAATGAAACCGGGGAGAGAGAGACCGTGAGATGCTAATTTCTGTTCCTGCTGCCGCTGCCGCTTTGATCTGAAGCAAATGCCCGTTTTAAATTGCAAACGGATGCGAGTCAGATATCATCCAGCCAGTGGCTTACAGGCTTAATGAAGTGGGATGTACGCTTCTGCCTGATAATGTTAGGAGAGGCAGGCAATTCAGAGAGGAATTACTGAAGGTCTAAAGAGACGGGGAGGAAGGATGGGGATGTTGCAGGGTAACTCGTGTCACCACCATCGGTGTGGCACAATGTCCCCCCGCTTTCCGCCCTTGGGAAGCTGTGCCTGTGGCTAAGCTCCTAGCCCCTCTCTGCCTGGAGAGAAAGCTATGAACCTACTGCCCTGCTATTAGGCACCTATGTTTTAAGGCACGCAACCTGTAAAGGCAACGCAGGGTCATCCTGCTCCTTGGTCTCGGAGCATGAATGTTAATTTGGTGCGTTCCCCAGGTGAGGCAAAGGTATGGGGGCCTAAGTAGCTCATTCTGTGCTGTCGCTTGGACTTGAGCAAGACAAAACTTGTCATGACTTGACTGATGAGGCTGTTCTGGGGCAGACCTAGATGCTCTTGAGAATGGGGCCACCAAGCCAGAATCATAGAATCATCGAGGTTGGAAAAGACCTTTAAGATCATCACGTCCAACTGTTAAGAAGCAGCGATCTGGGAGCCTGGTAGCTCATGCTGGGCACCTGCATCTTCCTGAGTCCCCATTACATGCAAAGATCTGACCCGTTTTGAAGAATGGACATCTAAAGGGGTATTTATCACACTCTTCACTACCAAAAGGCACTGGGGCCCTAGGATCAGGCCAGAGTTGGTTGTATATCTCCTGCGGGTTCTCAGAGGTTTGGATGGTTCTGCAAGCTGCTACGTTAGACTCTGCAGACATGGCAAGGCTGGGGCACCCGACGGTAGCTGGAAAGCATATCTGCACCAAGCAAGGAAGAAATGATCTGGCTGTTGGAAAAGGCAAGTGTGGCTCACAAACATGTTAGGTTCTTTGAAGGAGCATCAGGATAAGAAAAATCTCATGGTTGTAGTCTGTGCAGAGCCAAAATCTACATCTTACAATGTCCATCATCAAAGGATCTTATGGAGACTAAGTAACGATGGGATAAGACTGGCAGGTCCTTGCGTGGATAAACTATTTGGTAGAGATACAAGGCAAAAAAGAAAGTAAATAGTTTTGACAGAAAAGGGAGGTCACTGGTGATGAGACCTGTGCTGCTCAATGAACACATAAACGGCCTGGAAAAGAGGATGACTGCTAAGAGAAGAAAGATAATATGAAGTTAGTCAAGGCATCAGGAACAAGGGCTGGCTCTGACGAAATGCACAGGGGCGTTGCGAGACTGAGTGGCGGGGCAATGAAACAGCAGATAACATTCTGTGTAGGTGACTGTAAAGTGAGACGCAGCAGCAAAAAAAAAATCCATCTTGGCTTGATAGACAAAATGATGGGCTCTGAGCAGACGGTTATCATTCAGAAGCAAGACCTCGACGTGAGCATAGCCAGGTATATGTCACATCTGCCTGATGTTCCAAGCAGCCAGGGCAGCAACCAAAAAGCTGCGAGTTATCAGGAAAGACATACGGACCAAAAGGGAGAGCACCACATCACCGCTGTGTACGCCTGGGGTGCACTGGCACCTTCTGCACAGGGGCCTGTTCCTCCACCCCCAGAGGGGACAGCAGGCCCAGCAAGGGCGCAGGGGGGCTGGCAGCGACTGGTGAAAGCCATGGCGCAGCTTCCAGGTGCCCCCCGGCTGTGAGAGAGGTCTCGAATGGCAGGGAAGGGACTGGCAGCGGTCAGCCTTTCCTCCTCTCCCTGCACCGGAGCAGTGGGACGGTGAAGCAGCGAAGCCGGCGGCAGCCTCAAAACAGAGGGAAGGGAAAGGAGCGGGGTTTTGACGCGACACAAAGTTAAGCTGGAAAGCTCCTTGTTATGGCATTTGGGGCTGTGATTTTGTGTTTTCCAGGAGAAAAGGAACAAGAAGGGAATCTACTGAGCATTGCTAACCATGAAGGAGCCATCCTGGTAAGTCCCGAGCTGTGGATTGGTAGAGGTTTAGGGGAAGCATCGCATGTGACTGCTCTGCTTTTGTCTTCTGCTTTAGGTTTGTGCTTTTGACCATTGCTCAGACAACATGACAGATAGATGCTAGATAGATAGTCTGACTATCTAGACCTTTTTTATGTTCTTATTCTATGTTTACTTTGTAGCTGTACATGTAACTCTATAAGATGCAAAAAAAGGCACATACCGCCTCGCATTTTCTCTTCCTTTTATACTGCCTATCAGTATATATACCCACCCCACCCCACCCCCCAAAAAAAACCACCTTTCAAAAGCATTCGAATCCTCTTTCAGCAGAGTAAATCATGTTAATGTGCAGGCCACTAGGCAAGATGAATTTTTTAGATTATCCTTTCTTTTTCTACAGCATCTCCCATTCAAGGGCTTCACGCCCTCACAATAGCATGGCTGGGAATTTTCTCTGCTTAACAAATGAGGGAACTTAGACACAGTAGTTTGCTGTGAAACAGGCGAAGAAATCAGAAATCTGCTTTTTTAGAACATCTCTAGAGAAGGAGACAGGAGGAAAGACTGACTCCAAAAGTGAGAATCAAAGGGAAAAATCTCTCTGCTGGACCCAAAATAAGTTTCCATAGAAACAGATTTTTTCCAAAAATGAATTACTGCAGTATGAAATGAAGATTGTGGGTCTAATTCTGCAAAATATTTAAGCATGTTCTTTGCTTATCCCTATTCAGCTCGGGATGCAAGCATGTGATTTCCATGGAGGCTTATGTGCTTTATTTGATGGAGGTAGAAATAAGGACAAGCTGTGTTGAATTGAGATCCGGGCTTCCTTGTGCTTCCTCACCGCTGACAAAATTGCAACTTATTTTTTGTGACGGTACATGTTGCTTTGCTGCTATAAAAGCACAGACCCCGGTGCGTCGACCCCAGTGCTTCAGTCTGGGAGTTCAGCACCAAGTTCCAGCAGACTCTTCCCGCTAATGGGGAGCGGAGTCAGCAGAGTGTTTACATTGCTGGGTACTTTATTGGTTCGTTAATTAACTCTTTTTCTATTTACATGTAGGTTTAAA